AATGCCGAGACCTAGATGAGAAGGTTACCTGGTCTGAACAGTCTGCACCATCCCACCCATGCCAGTGTACATGTTAGCTGTGGACATCCAGAAGTTGGTAACCAGCATGTTGGCAAACACCGACACTCCAGCAATTGCACAAAGACCTGTGGGCAAAGAACAAGAATGCTCCAGAGTCAGCTTTAGGGGATCGCGATGTTCCTGAGACAGTGCTTTAATGAATCTAGGGAATCGGGCTGCAGAATATCCCATTTCTGTAACAGAATGGTCAATCCAAGCATTGATGATTCAATTCTTACAATGTACTAGACAATGTGATAGGCACTTAGGATCCTTTATCTCGTTAATTGTGGAAGGATTTGTGTGTGTGTGCAGAAAAAAATTTCTATGCACTTTGGGACCCAGGGCCAATAGTGCAAACATTCTGGGTCTAGTTCTTTGGTGAGGACAAGAGTTCTTCCTTTAGGGAACCAGTAGTTAGTGTAATGGCTATGTCGCTGGACTCCCACGTAGTTGACCGCGGTTCACATCCCAGACCCGGTGGCTTAAAACTCATGCCAGGCACGTGTGTGTGCGTGCCCAAGATCCCGAGAGGAGAATGGAGGAGAAGGGATTGCGGTGTGACCATCCCCCTTGGGGGGTGATTTCTCGCTTTCTGTCTCTATGTCTCTCTCTGTCTGTCTGGTGAACGCACGCGCCCTATAGTGAAAAAAAAAAAAAGAGTTCTTCCTTTAAAATCATTTTCTAGAGTCTCACCAAGAAAATACCTTGTAGGGACCAAGTCACGTGACTCAGCCCTTCTCATATTGGGGTTGGAGTGGCAGCTAAGAGGGACCTTAGCAGTCATGATGATCCTGTAGAGTGTAATTGGGTCTCCCAGCTAGATCCTGAACCCTAGCATGGAGAACTCCGAGCTATGTTCCATACCAGGGAGGAACCACATTTCCTCTATCAGAATGACGTTGCTTTAACATTCCCGGAAGTGGGAATCTCAGCCTCTGCATTTACCCGAAATGATGAACATGATCCCAGAGGTCAGTGTCATGTTGGCCTTGGCGGAGTCCTCCATGTTGCCAATACGGATGCATTTCAGGGCGAAGATGGACACCAGGAGGCCGATAGCTCCCAGAACGATGCCCACAATCATTAGGGCTCGCACGGCCTGCAGCATGGCTGTGGGGCACAGGGTAAGACGTGAGCAGACAAATAAGACGGCCTCAACTTGATCAAGCTGTGCTATGGTTTAATAAAATAAAGCAACTGCAACTAACCAGCACCAAACTTCTGCGAACAGGAAGTCCACAACCGTGTACCTTGTCATTGTCAAAGGATGTGGAATTGTGGGGAATGTAAAACCCAGCACTTATGATCCTCTGACTGACAAAGGGTGTGCACACAGAAGTTGATAGAATGGGACAACCACATGTCGGTTGACCACATGTGAGTCCAGTGACGTAACCATTATGCCATCTGCTGGTTCCTCTGGTGTTTTCTTTACCTGCAGTGTCTCATCAGAACAATTATTTACTGAACCCCCATGACTGGGCATGGCATGAGAGTAGTTAATAGGTCAGACGTAGTCTCTTCTGTCACAGAGCTTATGCCAAAGTAGAAAAAGATAGTCATTAAACATGTCATTATAAATATAATGAACTTTAGATGGAAGACAAGTTAATCTTTGATGTCTTCCAGAGAACAAGGCCCGAACTTGGGTTGGTCTGGAGGAGTTGAAATGCAGAGCTGTGTGGAGATACAATGTGCTCGGCACCCCCCGGTATATCCCCCTTTCCTCTCTTAATCACATGATTCCTGAAGGAGCTGCCGTGTCTTACTTACATCAGTGCTTTTCATAGTGTCTACAGATGTTAATTTCCAACCTGTCACAAATTGATGTCCTGGCTAAACACTAAATCACATGCTTGAGTGTCACAAAAATGTCAAATTGTGGGATCAGTAGATGGCATAATGGTTATGCCACTGGACTCCCACATGGTTGACCACGGTTTGAGTCCTGGATCCCGAAGCTTCAAACTCACACTGGGTGTGTGTGTGAGCACGCCCAAAATCCCAAGAGGAGCATGGAGGAGAAAGGACTACAATATAGTGATTCCCCCAGGGGTGTGATTTCTTGCTTTTTGTCTCTCTCTGTCACTCCAGCGAGCACACACACCCCATCGCAAAAATCTCTCTTAAAAAAATATCAGATTGTTATAAAACTTTAGAAATGTGTATTTTCAATGTTGGTACCAGAACTATTCAGGTGGGTAACGATTAGTGGGCCAGCTTGGTCCACAGACTATGACTGAGTAGTACTATTTTTTTATTTATATATTTTTAAAATTAGTCATACATTCAATTGCTATACATCATTTAGATGGTGAAGAGACTTTACCCAGCATGATATACACCTCAGTCCAGCCCAGTTGAGACCACCACACACATCCTCGTCAACAGATGATAAACCTTATTGGTGTCCCACAAGTGTCTTACCTCTCCTATTGACTCTGGTCTTTCAAGTCATGACCTAGTACCTTGTCCCTTGACCATGGTTAATTAATCCAGGATGGGCATCTGACTGGAACTGGGTAGGTGAGACCCTTACATAGAATGTTTATACTTTGGACACAGCAGCTTGTCGGTCTCTCTCCAGGGCTGACAGTATCAGACGTGGTCCTGAGATCCCCGTTTCCTTGGGTGGGGGGGCGCTGTGAGCTGCTGTCTAATGACAAGTAGGCCACACCCACGAAGGAGGCAGAGAGTCCTGACAGTGTTCGAGCGTCTACTTCCAGCTATTCCTGAGGCCCAGATACATTCTTTTCTTGGGTTCCAGAAACTATCTTGGCACCATTTTTTTTTTTTTTTTAAATCTCCTTATCTGTTTAAGCCAATTCAAGCTGGGGTTTTGTTACTTAAAATCAAGTGGTTCTAACGGGTACAAGATGATTTCATCAATGTCTAGAACCGCTAATCTTTAAAGCCTTAGTTTTGATGGAGAGTTTCCACATCATGGGAGTACGAAGGCAGGCCGGAGTGTGGCTGAAGCCCCTTGCAGATGTGACAGAGTCGCATACCAAGTCTTACAGCCATAAAAGCACCACACCCCACAGTATGGCATTGTTTTTCTTTTGTTCGAAGTAGCTGAATTTTTAAAAATTATGTAAGTAATGTGTTCATTATAAAAAATTCAGACTCTACAGACATCTATAAATAGGAGAAAAAAAACCCCATTATCCTACATTTTGGAGATAATTACCTTTAGCATTGACTCATTAGTATGTAGTTTTCCAGGAAGGCATGGCTTTTGAGGAGGAATAAAGTCTCTTTTTTGGGGGAGAGGTTTTTGCTATAGGGTGCGTGCGCTCGCCAGACAGATAGAGAGAGACAGAGAGACAGAAAGCGAGAAATCGCCCCCCCCCGGGGGGGATGGTCACGCAATCCCTTCTCCTCCATTCTCCTCTCGGGATCTTGGGCACGCACGCACACGTGCCCGGCGTGAGTTTAAGCCGCCAGGTCCGGCGTGAGTTTAAGCTGCCTACTCTGGTAGGCAAAAGGTTCAGAAATAAAGCAGAAAGCTCTGTCCTGTCTGGGTTGTCACAGCCAGTTGCTATTTTTGATTGAGAGCTATTAGGGAATTTGACACATATGGAATTCAAATTAAAAAAATTTAAACCATAAAAATACTTGCAATATAGATAATATTATCTCTATTTTATAGCTGAAGAAAATAAAGCTCAGAGGTGAAGTAACTTGCCCCAAAACACACACAAAAGGAGAGGCAGAGTTGGGGGTTGAACCCAGAACTGTCTCAAAATTGTTCCTTTCCTATCACAACACAGGGTTTTGAGGAACCTTATTCGGGAAAACCAGGTAGCTTTCTGGCTGCAATCAAGGCACGGGGACCTGTAAGCTCCTAACAGAATGTATTTCCCAAACGTGGAGAGGCTGGCTATCGAATGTGAAATGGGTGCTCGAAATGTATATAAGAACACTCTCCCCAAATCATCTCAGGGAGTAACCTGTCCCAGGAAATGATCTATAAATGGGACTTTCAAGACAGGGGCGTTCCCATCACCCATAGGAGTCCTTGGAGAGAATGCTCGCCCGTCTCTTTGGGAAGAACTTCATTTCCAATTAACAGCCAACACCATGGGCCTGCCACTTCCTCACACTCAGAGGGGCATCTCAAAGCTATCTGTCACGAGAGAAGGATTGCCAGGATTCAAGAAGGAGGGGTGAATCATGCAGAACTTGTTAAAGAGCCTCTGAGTGTCAGAGAAGCCGAGGCCCTGGCAGTCTCCCTCCCAGGTGTCTTGTTGGGGAGAGGAGAGAGTCTGGCTCTCTGGGTCTACACCATTGACTTCCACTCATTGGATTCTGATGCCCTTCTTCCTAAAGAAACTTCTGACATTAACTCCGCTTCTCTGCTAAAAAGAGGGATCTATAAATGTCCATCATCAGGCTTGGTCCCACTAGAAGCTCCATTCTCAGGAAAAATGTGTTGGTTCACGTTCTGGACCACAGAACCAATCATTCTTGGGAGAACTGATCACATCAGGATCTTGGGCTTACAGATGAACTCACATGCTAGAGTCACGGTGCCTCACTAAGGCACAAAGAACTTTCAAAGGCCTTGGGCTGGGTCTACACCTTCCTGCCAACAGAGGAGGGTTCTAGTGTGTCATCTCTGTCCTCCCAAGCCTTTCCTAGTGGCTTTGCCGGTCCTGCAGGATACTGGGAACAAACACTCTTCATGAACGACCTTCATCTTCTTCCTGAACAAATGCCAGTGCATACTGTCTACTCGTGTATGCACTCATACATGTGCGTGTTCATGACAACACGTGTGGTGTCCCCTCATAATCATACAGTAAACGTATTCATACACCCACCCATGAACTCCTTAATTCTCCCATCAAGTATTTTAAAACTTAAATATCTCAAAACTTAAATCCTCGGCCAAACCCTTTGCCAGGTGGCAGAGGAGGTATAAAGTTTCATGGGGAGTAATCTCTGCTTTCAAGCAGTTTGCAGTCTGGGAAGATTATATTTTCACCTGACGTCCTGAGCCTCACATTTCTTTTCATCCTGCGTGCACATTGGCTGAGTAAACACAAAAGAACCCCCTTGGGGCAGTGGCTCGCAGCGTGGCTCGGGTTCTCTGTAACACCTGTAGCTCAACTGCAAGCCTGTCCTGTGCTCTAGGAAAGTTTTGCAGAGGACACATGTGGGGAGGCCCCCACCTTCAGGAAATACCCTGCTTTGAATGTTACTCCCAGGAAATCAGACATACAAGAAAAAGAAGGAACTTAGATGGTCCCTTCATTTTGTTGCCCTGGGCTTCTTACAAACTTCAAATCTTCCCAGGAACCTGTTTGAGGTTTTAAAAGTTTATCAAATTCTGGGCCAGCCAGGTGGTGTGGTGAGTGGGGTGGCTGGGTCTCACATGTTGACTGTGTGGTTCAAGTCCTGGACCCTCTGGTTGGAAAATCACTTCAGGTGATTGTGCGCGCATGCCCAAGGGGAGAATGGAGGAGAAGGGATTGTGGTGTAGCTACCCACCCTGGGGAGTGATTTCGTGTGCTCTTTCTCTCTCCAGATAAAAACAAAACAAACCCTTATCTATTAGGTTATTGGGGAAGTCATGATATATTTTGCCATGTTTTTCTATGCAAAAATGCGTCACGACTATCCTGACGACCCAATAGTTTTGATTTTATTTTAAAGCCTAAAGCTATTCAGAGAACAAAATAATTTATTCCTTTTAAGAAAGACCTGAGAAAGGTATTTGGTTAAAATAAAACACCAACAAAGCAAGCCAACAACCAACTACCCTTCCTTATTTTACAAATAATTATATTTATTTTGGCCCTTAGCAAGAATGGGGTCACTGACTGTCTGGATTGAATGGTTCTAGGATTCCTGAAGATACATCACGTATACTCCTGACTATGGTTGAGGGATGTGGCCTCTCTGACACCGTTGGGTGAGAAGCAATGATGACACTGGTGGGTGAGAGGTGAAAGCACCTCAGGCTTGCCTGCTGTGGAGTGTTCTGGAAGCCCCTGGAAGCCAGCCCTGGCCTCCCTGTCCTGGGCAGCCTTTGCCTTAGCTCCCAGATGTCTTCTTGCCTCTGCTGGGTCAGGTTTTCTAAACAAGTTCTCCTTCCTGTTCTC